AAATACTAAAAGAAATTTATAAAAAATTTTAAAACAAACTTATAAGACACAAGAATTTTAAAAATAGAAAGGTACTTTAAATACCAAGATTCAAACATTGTATGATTATAATGTCTTTAAAAAGTAATCTATAAACCAGACATGGTATCAAAGGCCTATAATCCCAGAGGCTCAGGAGGTTGAGGCAGGAAGATCACAAGTTCAAAGCCAGCCTCAGCAAAGGCAAGGAGCTAAGAAACTCAGTGAGAACCTATCTCTAAATAAAACACAAAATAGGGCTGGGAATGTGGCGCAGTGGTTGAGTGCCCTGAGTTCAGTCCCTGGTACCTCCCATCCCCCAAAAAACAATTATCTATAGGGGCTGGGATTGTAGTTCAGTGGTAGAATGCTGGCCTCACACATGTGAGACACTGGATCCAATCCTCAGCACCACATAAAATAAATAAATAAAGGTACTGTGTTCATCTAAAACTAAAAAAAAAAAATTTAAAGTAATCCATATACCTAGTATAACTCTAATCAGATTGCAAGTTCAAGGCCAACATTAGCAATTTATCGAGGCACTCAGCAACTTAGCTAACAATACTTTTGGGATTTGATAAAATAACTTAAAAATTTATTTGGAAGAGTATAAAAAATAATCAAGAAGACAATGAGTGGAGAAATCACACAGAAAAAAGCACTAAAATAAATTATAAATTACAATAATTATCAGCAAACTAAAGTGGTCAACTAGATGCAGTATCAGTAAAAGGGAAATGTCTATCATTCAATTGGTGTTGAGAAATCTATTTCTCATATATCTTTTTTGATTCGCAACTACATATCCTTTCTCAAAGGTTATTACATATCTATGCCTTGAGTTTTTACTTTATAATGTCTCTTTGATCTCTATATCAGATGTTTAGATGGGTCTAACTCTTTTGTGAGGTTGTACAATATTCTTTTGCTTAAATGTAGCATAGTTTATTGAATTCTTCCCTTTTCAATGACACATAGGTTATTCCCAAACTTTTGGTGCACCTGACAAATTGAAATACATTTTTTTTTTTTGTATTTTGTTCTGGATTACATATGAAATAGATTTGTAGGTTTAGCTTCTAGAAGTAATTGCTGGATTAAAGAATAGGCATATTTTATATGTTAATGGACAAAATCATTCTTCCATCTAGGAAGATGGGACAAATTATAGTCATCCTAACAAAAATAGAAAATTTTATGGCACACAGTTTCCCCACATCCCTATCAATACAGCGTTAACAAAATTTTTTGATCTCTGTCAATATGATAGATCCAAGTTATATCTGA